TCATTTTGATTTGTAGCTATAGAATCTGAAGTTATTTTTATATTTGGGTTGACAATTCTTCAATATTAATAGCACACTTGGAAACGGTCAGCTGTTTGTCTTTTTTCAGTTTCACAATTTTTCCCCCCCCTAGTTTGTTTGTGGTAGGCCTTAAAACAGACCAAGATAGAGCATTTTTAAAGGATTTGTAAGAAAAGACATTTGTTTTTTTTTTCCAAATATTCTGACAGTTCTTCTATAAATTCAGGGTGAAATGGGATTAACAATTAAATTAAATCTGTAGACCTTAAATTTGTAGACTGAATTTTCTAAAAGAAGTAAATGCTTGTTGGTTTTTTTTTTTTTTTGCAAAGTGCACAAATATCCTATTTTCTTCTATTGGACTATAAGGAGCGTAAAGATGTTTTACCCATTCAAAAGGAAAAAAATCACAACCATACTTAAGAGTAACTTGAAGAACTTTTAGATTTCAGGAAGAAAGGCCAGCTTTCTCTGACTTTTACCCATTTTGGTTTGGGTCATTTTGTAAACCAAGTTAATTTTTAGTGATGTAATATACTGGTATGTGTTTTGGCCTTACAGTCCTGCTAGGATATGAAATTAAGCTAGCAGTTTATCAGGGCACTGAGGTAGGCATCATAAGTGGTTTTGCCCCATAATGCTACTTCATTAGTTTTTGTGTAGAATTAATTATATACAATAGAATAATTAGAGTAATTATATACAATAAAAGAAAGTCGAAAACCTCAATAATTTAACAACAAAGTCTTGATCACATTGAACAAATCTAGAAATCCTTTAAGCAAGCTCAGGTCCCTCCCCCTTCCACCTGGAGTGCACAGTGCTGCTTGCCTGAAACTACAGCACACTGCAACTTTCACTCACTCAGATCACTCAGTTGATTCCTCACTCAAGCACTCAAAACTCTTATATTCTCACATACAATTCATGCAGAAACAACACCACTCAAGTAAGTATTCAATTCCCAGACACACAGCATCACACACTCAGGATCCTCTGTTCTATTCTGACAGAGCTTCCTGAGTTCAGAACAGTAACTAGGTTCCCTTGATTATTGAGGGTAGGGCGATATTTTACCATTCTGCTTAAAAGTAAGCCAATCTCTATGAATCTCTCAACTTCTTGGGCTCCAACAGGTAACTTTTCAACTTGGGTACTTGATCCAAAGTGGGTTCCCAGGTCCACCCAAGGAAAGTTCTCTTGAGGAGACTTTTACCAGCTCCAAGACCACTCCCTCTGAGAGTCACCAAGGATGGAATGAATCAAGACTGAATGACTTTCAAAGAGTTAGTTCATGGGACCGACTGGATTGACCAGAGCTGACTGACCTTTTAAGGGCCAAAGTCACCCCACAGTCTTGAACTGATCAGAACCTGCACACACCTGTCAGTCAGCTGTCAGTCATCATACATGCAACAAAGATGCATCTCCATCACTCTTTCACCAGTCAGCTTTTCTTACCTCAGGTGTATGCCAACACTCATTCCTGCTAAAACACTCACTCCACTGAGCCATGCTCCTACCTGGCACCTAAGCCCATGACATCATGGCAAAAAATTCATACCTTTCTTGATCTTTCCCAACTTGATACTACTGTGTGTGCTTAACATCACAACTGATAACCTGAACAGGAGGGATAAATAAATACCAAAACTTTCCTCCTAACAGCTCATAGATTTTACCATCTGTGATGGAAGTGGAAAATGTTTGCCTCATGACTTGAAGCAGTCCTGTAAGAGTCTACATCTCTGGCTTCTTTACTACTTCATTTACCAAAAAGCCTTCAACTTGGAGTTCCATGCCCTAAATACTTCTGAAAACCTGCCACTCGGTATATGTCTTACTAGGAGCAGACATCATTTCTCCTTTCTTATAGGTTTTGCCTCATGTAAGGAATAGGAAACTCCTAGTTTCATTTTTGTTTTCCGTACCCAGGACTAAGAAGTGATATGCAAGACTGTTGCTGCTATAGGAAACTGGTGACTTAAAATATTTTTTGTTAAGCTTCCTATTAGGACCTCTGTAAGCTACAGAATCACATTTTTCCAGGTCTTGCCTTGTCCTCTATTGCTAGGTGAAAGGAGAGTAGGTCAATGTCAATCTGGACTGTAACATTTCAGTGGTCTGAAAATATGCTGTATCAATATTTGTAACTTTAAGACTGCTTTCATCTACAACAGATAGCTAATCATTACTGCTTGTAACTTGTCATAGTTCTCCAGAGTATGCTTTGTTTTTTGTCTATTTCACATCCTTTTACATGTTAAAATTTAAATTTTGTAATATAGATTTACTCTATAGGCAGGAGTAAAAAGAGTATTGAACTTGTGGCTTATGCTAAATGTTGAAGTACTTGAAAATCTAGTGAAGATGTAGCAGCAGCATGTTCTGTATGGATCCAAAGAAACTAGAACCATGGGAAGAAATTAACAAAAAATTGACTTAACTGGTGTTATGCCAGGTAATATGCCTAACGGTACAATACTATAAAAGAGCAGATATTCAGTCAGGGAGTGAGGTGGGAAACACGAATCTCAAAACAGTGTCATGGTTGATAATTGAGAGTAAATTAGGCATGGGCTTATCACATGTTGAGGTCCCAGGGGTGCCCACGATGCTCCCCGTGGAGCTCTGTGACTGCCTGCTCTGCCTCTAGGGCACCTTCCTGTCTTGCCAGTTACTCCTTGATGGTAAAATAATAAATAGCATGCCCATGGGCCTTTGCATGGCCCCAATTCTGATGAACCCCCTTTAGGGTTCTCACTAGTCCTCAGACCCCTTGATGGGCCTCACTTCATAACTGTGCTGCACAGGGCACCTCAAGCCGTAAGGGCTAATTGCGTGGGTCCAAATCCTCCCCTACACCACATCCCATGCCTCACAGGTGTTAAGGTAGCACTGTTCCCTCTGGGCCTCTGCCTCCTTGGCCTCTACCCCTTTAATCTTGCTAGGCCTTCTAGGCTAGGTCCACTGCATTGGACCTGGCTTTGAGGCACTAGCTTCTATCTATCACTTTAACCGGGCCCCTGGCCCCAATCTTGTTGTGCTTCTGCACTCCACTCTTCTCTGGGCTCAACAACAGCTCAGGCTTGAGCCTGCCCCTGGAATGGGGGTGCCCCTCAAGCACTAATGGGACCTCTGTAACTTCCCCTTAGGGTCCCAACCCAAACCACTAGATTAAACAGTAACATAAATCATAAGACCCTAGGCTATAACAGAAACACATAAAGCAGAAGCAGCCCTCTGCCCCCTTAAGACAGCAAACCTTCCTTATCTCCCAGAAGGTATACCTTCCAGTCCAGGGTTATATTCCAGTCTAGCCTATGCTGTCAGGCTGCCTTGGGCTCTTGGACCCCCTGCTCCTGGCTCAGTCCTCCCCTGGGGCATGTGGACCAGTGCTATGCACCTGAAACCCTTTAGGGGCTAATGTAAAACAAAGGCCACTTGCCTGTAAACCAGCCTTTCTCTGCCCAGGGAATTTGCCTCTGTTTCCAGGCCTACAGAGTTGTTTAGCTCAATCCAGTTCCCTTTAGGAGCCCTGCTGCCCTGTAGCCCAGAGTTCCTCACTTTGTTAGGGTTACCATACATCTGGGTTTTCCTGTCCCTGTGTCCAGGTAGGTTTTTTAAATGCAAGCAGATGTCTGGGTTTTTGCTCTGCGTCTGTTTTCCTGGCCTGGCTGCTTGGGGCTGGGAGCAGTAGGCAAGTTGATTTGCTGCCAGGGGTCACGTGCTCCATGTGCAGGCACTGGCAAGCCACTGCCAGGTACAGAGATGGTGGTGTGTGTGTGTGCATGCTCCTGCATGTGTGCTTGCACTGTGTGGGCAGCAGGGCTGGGGGGACAGGGGGCTGCAGGTCAGTAGTTGGGGGCAGGGGGATGCAGGCTGTGGGTCCCAAGTGCGGGGCACCAGCAGGGCTGTAAGGCAGGTGGCTGCAGGTTGGGAGTGAGAGGTGTTGGCAGGGCTGGGGGGCAGGGGGTTGCATATCAGGAGTGAGAGACACCTGCAGGGCGGGGGGAGCAGGGGGCTATGGGTTGGAAATGAGGGGCACCCACAGCGCTGGGGGGCAGGGGGCTGTGGGTCGGTAGTGAGGGGCACGAGCAGGGCAGGGGGGAGGGGCTTGGGAATGAGGGGCAGAGGTAGGGCATGGGCATATCACTGTGCCCACCAATCATGCCCCTTCCCCCTCTCCTTTTCCTCCCTCCCCCTTACACCCTTCCCCCTCCTAGGTGTTCTCTTTTTTGATACGGTAACCCTATTTGTACTTGCTAAGGGAGAGACTACCTGACTCGTATGGTCTTTGGGCTTGTGTAGCTTAAACCTGAGCTGCCTTCTGGTCAGATGAGTCCCTCATTAGCTCCCCTGTAACTCCAGTAAGCAACCTCTCAGGCTGTTTGTTCTCTTAAAGGAGCAGGCACATCTCAGTGCCCTGCTACAGCTTGGTATGATATAAGGTAGGATAGATGTTTAAAAATTATTTATTGTGCAATTTTCAATCTAATACATTGAGGTTTTACATCACAGCCAAGTGATAGGCTTTCTGGTAGGGTTGTGTTGATTTGGCTGCTATTATGTTTAATTCATTTCTGGGTACTTCAGTTCAGGAGAGTATTAGCAATTTGGAAGTCATTTGATGAAGAGAAACAAATTATCTTGAGCCTCCATTGATTTCTTTATTTTAGTTGGTTAGATTTTGCTCAGTCATATTAAATATGGTATCTCCATAAAAGGATCAGAGTGGTGTTCTGCATTCCTACAAGGTGTTCCTATTCACATGTTTCAGGCACAAGGAATAAGAATTTGCATTATGAATAGGAGTAATAACAACAGGAAAGTTCTGCTGTTATGCATAACAGCCATCTGTAACTTAAAAAATTAAAAGGATGTTAGACAGTGCCCCTATGAACTTATTAACACTTTGTTCCTAGCGAGGTAATAGCTCTTACTGAATGAATAAAATGCAATTTGTTTTGTTTTTACAGGTTGCCCCTAATGATGAAGCTGTTGTAACATTGCTTTGTGAATGGGCAGTGAGCTGTAAAAGATCCGGGAAATACAGGGCAATGGCTGTAGCAAAACTCATGGAAAAGAGACAAGCAGAAATTGAGGCAGAAGTAAGTTTTCCAGTTCGAGAACAGTGTGGTGACATGCATGTAAAAACAAGCAAATGAAGGAAAATTATCTTTTTTGTATTATTTTTTAAATATTATATTTTTAAGTATTTTTGTTTTTAAATCATAAATTTACCTTTGAATGATGGAGATTTCTGCTAAAATAATGCTAGCTGATTTCCTATTTGTTTTCTTTGTTAGGATTTACTTCTGCATATACATCTATATAAACTACTGTGGGTGGTATCTTGGAGAAATGGGTGTTTTAAGTTGAATTGATAGATACCTGATTATGCCTATCAATGATCATTTTCTTGATGGGCTAGGAAGTGTACAGATAATTCTAGAAAGTTTGAAGGCAACTTTGAAGGAAAATAGTATCTTGTATAGAATTATTAGCAGTATAGTAAGAAAAACTGCCTTAATTTTCTGCTTAAAATGGAGGTATAGTGAAAATGTTTCACATGAAATAAAAGTATTTAAAGTTATCCTTTAAACACCCTCATCCAGCTCAACTCCTAGGCTAAGTACAGATGTTTGGGGAGGTTAGATTGCATTAAAATGGCCATCCGATCTTACTTAGTTCACCCCAGTATAGACTGCCAGTCTGCCACTGTTTTCAGAATGGGAGAAGTGAAAGGGAGCAGAGGGAGTTTGGTTTGGGGGTCCTGAGCCTTTTATTTTAAATTGATGGAACTGGCATATAAAACAAGATTGACCTCCTTTGTCAAAATTATAATTGCAGTCTTTGCATTAAACCAATCCAAAAAAATTATTTGCTTGAATTTTATTTAAGTAACTGTAAGTCCGTACACAAGAGGAGAGTTCTCAAGTACTGCTTTTTAATATTTGTTATGCGATGCTTAACTAGATACTTAAGAAATATTCAAAATACTGCAAGAGAGTGATGAAATAATGCTTCTCTTCAACAATGTTTGGTGAGATGTACGAGCTGTAGATAGATGCTGTGTTGTTAAGAGAAACAAGTGTAAAGTTGTATCATGCTAATTTGGTATTTTTTATTCCATAGAGGTGTGGTGAATCAGAAGTCCTTGATGAAAAGGAATCTATTTCTTCAGCTTCTCTCACTGGTTCCAGCCTTCCTGTTTTCCAGAATGTCCTCCTTAGGTTTTTAGATACACAGGCTCCTTCATTATGTAAGTATTAATTACTGTTCCAAAACAGGGCAGTAGCTTATGCCCAGTTACTGAAATTGTGTTTCATTATGGTAATGTTGCTAATTCAGTTTCCATTGTGACCCCTCCCCACTCTTTTCACAAATTTATAATGTCCTTGGGTTTTAGGCTATTTCCACTTGGGAGAAGGATGTTATAACTTTTTTTATGGGAATGGCATAGTTCTTCAAAAGTTTATAATTTTGACACCAAGAGAGAATATTCGTTTAACTCTTTTATAAAAATCTGTATATAGCTGCTAATGGTTTCATTCTGGCCAGCACTATCCAAGGTCTAATGACCCATGCGCCCTTCCTTTTGTGCTTTTAAGAAAAGTATTGTCTCTAGAAAAGCATTCTGATGTGGGAATGTTTGCATTGTTAAATCGGTTGTCTGAATTTTCTCATCTTTTAGAGATATTAATTAATTTTCTGGAGTTAATCAAACTTTGAACAGTGCTGAAATGGGTTTGTAAGCATCAGAAGTCTAGTAGTACACAATATTTAGAACAACAACAAATTTAAAGGGCATTTAGAGTGAACAGTAAACTAAAAAAAATTGTCTTAAGCTAGGAATGATCTAATTCGAGTTGTTTGTCTGTCTGTTGTATAACAATGTGACAATAATTATTCACGTGTATAAAAATGGTTGTTTTGAAGTGGTTCCAGTTTTTGCAGTGTGACTTCACTTTGGGTGCTTACAGATGTGCTTCGGTAGGTGTGTTTGTGTTTGGGGGAAGGAAGGGAGCATTTAAATTAGTGCAGTTCTGAGACCAGTGGTAATTAAAGTGCCTGGAGCATCATATATATATATTGGCATCCCCATGCTGAAAAATGGTGGTGCAGGGGCTCTTAAGCGCGTTGAATGAGCTTTAGTCAAAGCACCTCCACTGCCTTTTTTCAGGTCAGAGATGTTGATACACATGACACTGGAGTCTGCTGGAGCATGGTAACTACCATGCTTCAGCAGTTGGTTGAGTTTGCTCCAATATCTTGTAATTACAGCGCGTTGGAACACCCTCCCTGCATGTGTATAGGAACCTTTTGTTTTTAAATACTTTTTAATTAGTTGAATTAGTGGTAGCTCACTAAATGGAAGTTTTATTTCCTAATAAAGAAGTTACATTATAGCACTACTTTCTAATACCATTGCATGATTACAAGCCTTAATGTTAAAAATCTGACAATTTGTGTTGCTATGACTAACGCAAACATTAAGAACATGGGTGACTGGTGCCTCCTGAGTCTGGGGGACACCTGCAGAAGCAGGTGTCTGTGTAGGGGACAGGGCTGGTGAGTACCTGCAGAAGCCGGCGGCGGTGTCAGCAGTGGGGGACGGGGCTGGCGAGCACCTGCAGAAGCCGGCGGGGGCGGGGATGGGGCTGGCGAGCCTCTGCAGAAGCTGGTTGCGGCGACGCGGACTAGGCTGGTACGGCCCCTCATACCCTCCCCATCAGTCACCTAAGATTAAGAACATTCTTGTTTCTTTGTCAATGTGCAGTGATACATTGACAATAATGCATACTTGATTATTCATTTTAATAAACTTTTCTTACTACTTATAACCGTATTTCACTGCCAAAAGAAAGTTATTGCTTGTGTACACTCCAGCACAGTTATGGATAAAATAAACATAGTTTTTTTCTGAAGCTGGAAAAGATATACTTATCTAAGGGTAGATGAGGACATTCCTGGGACCCAATGATGGTGATGGTATATTGGGTTCCACTTGTGTACATATTTGCTGGTGCCAGGAGCTGTGCTGGGAATGAGATCTAAGTAAGCTGGGGTGGTTGGGAGCATGGGTAGAAGGTTGTCTGTTCAGGACTGTGGGAGGAAGTGGGGGTCAGGAAGGTTAAAATAGCTTGGTCAGGTCTGGGTGGCAGAGAGGGGTAGAAAAAACAGCCCTGGGGTTGAGGTGAGCAGCTGAGCTTTTCCAACCCCAGGGACACGCTCTAAAAGCACACACACATTTGGTTAGACTGGGCATGGTTTAGCCTGATCTGCACAGTGGACCTCCTTAGGTGAATTACACTATATTGGGCTGGTCATTTTATGTCTGATCTGAACTCTCTTAGTGTATGTACAGTTTGGTATTTATATTGACCTCTACCTAAAGCTAGTTAGGTTAATCCAAGAGTAACTTCTGCATGTATCCTAAAACATTTTGAAGGGGAATTAAAGCATAATGTTTAAAAAGGCCATTAATAAGAAAAATATCACTTTTATTGGAAAATACCCAGGTGGGTGAACACACGCCCCCTCTGAACCTTTCTTTAGTGACATGGAAAGAGGGAAAGATTCTGGTGTATTTTTACAAGAAGTAATATGTTCATATGTAATATGTCTCATATGACATGAGAGAAATACAAAGAAAAAAGAGAAGCTAGGTAAAATGATCAAAATATCTATTGTGCACTTTAAAATGTCTAAAATTTGGTCTATTGTTTTTTCCCTTTGGCTTCCCTTATGATGTCTGGTGTATTTATAATTGCTCAGCTTGTTTGTAATTATAATCTGTGATTTAAACATGTAAATAAATGTCCTAAAATATATACGAAAGTTCACTCCAGCAGCAGAAATAAGTATCTCTTTAATCAAAAGCTTAAGGACAAGATTAAGTTTTTCTTTTCTGTAGAACTTGACCAGACCTCTCAATTTTTGGAAATATTTGAATTTTGGATTTGCATTTTACACAAATTGGTGCAAGTTGATGTGTGCGGAATAGACTTCTGTGGAACCCACCTCTATGTAGGAAGTGGTAGAAAGGCAAAGTGTTTTAGTTGTGTGTCATTAAATTAGAAATAATTTGTTATATAGAAAAGGAAAGCAATCTTTAGGGGTCAAAAGCTGCTTTTTAAGGAAACGCATTGCAGAGTTTTGCATTTTTGTAGACCTGGAAAGCAAATGTTTATTAAATTTCTATTAAGAAAGGTTTTTATGGGTTTTTTTGGTAGCTGACCCGAATAGTGAGTACGAGAAGACTGAATTTGTGAATCTGGTGCTGCTATTTTCTGAGTTCATCCGACATGATGTTTTTTCACATGATGCCTATATGTGCACTTTAATATCACGTGGAGACTTGTCAATCACTACGGCTACTAGACCACGCTCGCCTACTGGAGAAACTGTGGATGAACATTATTCCAAGGACCATGATATGAAATTGGAGGTAAACTACATGTCTTCACCTATTTCTCCCATATTAAGTTTTAGTAGCATCCTTTAATTGAAAACAAATCTCCAACCAAGGGGAGTACAGCGTTTCAAGCTTGATCTTTTAATAATCAAAGGAGACTTGAACGTGAAAATCCTTTTCTGGTTTATCTGGTGTATCCCAAACATACCTGTAACCAGATGTAACTGTATAACACATACCTGTGTATATATAGCACATACCTAATCCCTATATTTATGTCCTATGAACTGAATATAGTAATACCAAGTACTTGTTATTAAAATGAGAAAGCTAAGGTGCTATTTAAAGTGTAGGAAAAGATCAGCTCTTCAGGTCTGTTCCAGAACTAATAAAAATCAATCTCATGGGTTTTGGATTAGACCCTTAATTACGTAATGATCATGCAGCACAGCTTCAGTAGTGCTGATGACCATTTTAAGTGTTTTCTAAGATTTTCAATCATCTTAGCCAAATTTCTCTTGAAAGAGGTAGAGTGTATATAAATTACATTCCACGGTGTTCTCAGTGACATCTGTACGAAGAAGCAAGAACACTTGGGAGAAGGCAGGCAATGCTACCAGTGGGAAGCAGTTTTGAGTTTCAGAAGAGTCCCCATGGGTGGTCACCCATCTCTCTCTCTCAATCCTCTTTTGATCCCTGTGTTTGATTATTCTCAGTATATGGGTATACAGTGGAAAGTGCTTATGAATTGGGGGATGTTGTGAATACAGATACTAGAATTGTTTCTTGTCTAATTTTAAACATTAACTTTTAAATGGCTAGAATTTTTGGTTTTACCTTCTGACCAATCAAACTAGGCTTTCATTGTTATCTGACTGGAGTTTATTTTTCCCTGATTTATTAGGATCATAGTATTATGGAGCATATGGGCATTGACTCAGGAACCACTAATATTTTTGATGATGTAGACAAGAATGACTTTAAGACTGATTTTGGTTCGGAATTCCCAGTAGGTTTAATTTTTTTTCCCTACACACTATTCATTTCCTTATCTCTTGCCTGTTGTGTGCACCAGAAATGTGTTCTGCTTGATTCTGAACTTGAGCAATCTTATTTCTTTAATATAACTTGTATTCTTTCATTCACAATCACTGTAATATAACGCATGCAAGGTATTGACATCTCTAATACAGCCATATATCTTCTTTTGACAGCGTTGCTTAATTCTTTCACAGCTCTCATTGGCTTATACAGTTGTCTTTTGTGCTCTTTTGTGCCTATTTAGAGGACTGTTGCATTAATATGCACGTGTAATCGTATTTCTTTTATAATAATTGATCACAACCCAAACTGCTATTCTGTAACTTGGCTTTTCATTTGATTGAGTAGTCTTTTTTTGTCCTTGTCTGTTGAACTTGGAGTACTTCTGAGTTTCCCAACTTATCTCTAATTGTTGGTATTATTTGCTGACCCTTGAACTGCATCTGCACAGACTGCTATACCTATGCCTACCCCATTGAAGTCAGTACACCATGTGGAACTGAGGCTGTGCCTACCAGAGATCTTTCCTAGTGATATTGTCATGTCAGTTTATATGTTGTCCAGAAGGCATCTCTCCTCTAATTTCCATGAATCCATGGAAGTTTTTTGTCTTTCCATTCCTTTGTCTTTCTATCTTTTGAATAAAATGTAATTTGTATTTTCTGTGTTGCAAGTTAGAAGTTACACAAGGGAAGTAAACTGTAATACTACTTTAGTTGCAGACTGCTTTTGTTTGTTAGTACTTAGTGCACAATATTTGGAGTAATGCCTATCTGTTAAGCATTGGGCCTGATACTTATTCCACTTATACCAGTGGAATTTCTATGTTAAATAGTTACATTGGTGTGAAAAACCTGTAAATAAGAGCAGACTCAGTCCTACCATACAATTGTTTAAATTTTGAATGTCTCTGTTTACAAAAAGTTTAACCATTTTTTCTACATGACTTAGATTTTTTCTCCAATGCCTGCGGAGTCTTGTGAGAATGTGCACTCTTCATTAGACAGAAGAATCTCAGTTAACAGTGAGAAGACAGTCAAAAGGGAAAGACTGAAAGAACTGATTTTTCCTTCCAACTATGACCTTCGCCATTTGCAGTATGCAACACATTTTCCTATACTTCTGGTAAGTGAACTGTTTACATTTTGAAGTTGAAATGTCAATACATGGAGGAATTAGCCATAGTTCAATTCAAGGACTAAAAGTTTGTTTCCTGGGGGGGAAATGGTCACTTTGCAGAGGTTGTGGCATTGTTAAAGCTTAATTCAGATGCTCTTTTGCTTTTATGCTTTTACTCTAATTTTACTGGAAATTACTAGGTTTTCCAGGAGTCAGCTTTTTTCCTCTTCTTTTTTCCCCTAAAAAGGGTAGTCTAAATGTGGTACTTTCATTTTCTCTTTTTTTTCTGTTTTAATTTGCAGTGTTGCCAGCTGTGTTACATCTTCACTGAAGCATCCTGTAGAAATAGCAGAGTGAGTGACAAATACTAGAGAGAACTATCTGTAGTGCTGGTAGCAGTCTAGAGATGGTAGCATGGAACTCAGCACAGATTAATACACTTTTCATAGGTTCATAGAGTGGTAAGGCTGGAAGGGACCTTGGAAGATCATCGGGTCCAGCCCCTGCACCAAGCAGGAAAAGTAACTGGAGGTCAGGTGACCCCAGTAAGGTGACTTGAAGATTCCAGGGTAGGTGATTGTACCACCCCTGGAGGGAGCTTATTCCATAGTCTGGACACCCTGACTCTGAAGTTTTTCCTAATGTTGAGCCTGAATTGGTCTTCCAGGAGTTTGTGGTCATTATTTCTAGTTTTCCCCTCGGGTGCCCTGGTGAACAGTTGCTCACTGAGCCCTTACCGCTACACTAGGGGAGTACATTAAGCTGCTACCAGGTTCCCTCTCAGTCTTCTTTTCTTCAGGCTGAAGAATCCCAGATCCTTCAGCCTTTCCTTATATGGCTTGCCATGTAAGAGTCTGATCATATGGGTGGCTCTTCTTTGGACTCTCTCAAGCTTGTCCATGTCCTTGTTAAAGTGTGGTGTCCAGAACTGGATGCAGTACTCCAGCTGCGGTCCCACTAGTGCTGAGTAGAGCAGAAGAATCACCTCCTTGGTTTTGATGGAGATGCACTGATTGATGCATGCCAGAGAATTATTTGCCTTGCTGGCTACAGTAGTGCCGTCGCACTGCCAGCTCATGTTCATCCTGTGGTCTGTTATTACCCTCTGGTCCCTTTCATTTGTGGTGTTAGTCAGTTTGGTGCCACCAAGCCTGTAGGTGTGTTGGGGGGTTGCCCATCTCAAGGTGGAGCACTTTACGTTTCTCAATGTTGAACTTTGTCAGATTCTGACCAGCCCAACTTGCTAGACTGTCTAGGTCTGCCTGTATCTGTAGCCTATATCTTCAAGTCTGACTATGCTCCCCCATAACCTGGTGTCTTCTGCAAACTTGGCCAGTGATGTCTTCACCCCCACATCCAAATCATTAGTAAAGATATTGAAAAGTACTGGGCGAAGCACTAACCCCTGTGGGACACCGCTGCCCATTTCTCACCAGGATGACTTGGATCCGTTCACTATGACTCTCTGGGTCCTATCCTGCAGCCAGTTTCTCACCCACCTGACTGTCTCTTGAGGACATTGTGGATGCTAGATCAAAGGCCTTTAGGAAGTCTAGGTATACAATGTCGACCTGCTCTTGTGTCCAGGTGGCGAGTTTTGCTGAGAAACACTACGTTTTTCCCTATGTACATTTACTTCACATATTTATCATAACTTTTTGTTTGTTCTTAGGCGTTGTATTATTTTTATATTTTCTGTACCAAGTCATTTTTTCTTCTAACAAAACATCAGGTTGTTTCTGGAAAATAAGTATTTCATATTATAGAAAGTAAGTCTTTAAACACTGTTATTGAAAATTGCCATTAATCTTCATGGAAATGAAATTCTTGCCATGGAACTGATTCTGGTATTTTTCCAAGTAGTGTTTCAAAATCCACCAACCTGGGAATTTGGATAAGTAGTATAATAATTTTCCTGCATTGAAGTGAGATTCCCAAGTTACTGCCAAGTGAACTGAAGTCAGAGGATGCAGGGTTTGTCTGGAGAACTGTGTGAATATTGGAAGGACAGTACCCATGGAAACTGTACCCATGAATAGGTTGCAATGCAAAATTGTAGCCTTTCTGGCTGCTACTCTCAACCCTGGGGCTTAAAGTTTTAAAATTTATTCCAGGCACAGCTCCTGTATAGGATTTGTAACTCCTGCTCTCTGGCTTTATGTGAGTGTGGATTCAGTAGTCTAAACCTGCCTTTCTTCTGTCCTTTCCCCAGATCTCTGAACCTGCCCATACACAGTTGCAAATAGTTTTGCCTTGGCAGTCTCCCTACTGCCACTTTCATAGCTGTCCTCCTCCATGACAGCTTTGTTAAAATGAGAACCTTTTTTAGTGCCTATTGTAACTGGTAGTTTTTATTTGGGTTTTAGGTTTACAGGAGCTGGAGCCTAATTTTAGTCAGAACACTGACATTGGGTATCTCTGTCGAGATGTATAGACTAGGAGTGTGTGAAGCGGGCCCTGTTTGATTCGGATTTGGATTCAGCCCAAATCAGGGACAGTGATTCAATTCATGGATTTGGATCACTGACCTTGATTTGATTAGGCTGAATCTGAAGATTTGATGCCGATTCTGAGAGTCAGTGATTTGGACATAGACACAGCTTTAAATGCTTTTTCTACATATCTCGAGGTACCAGCACAGCTTTGAATCGTTCAATGCTGGAGTATCCTATAGGAGTGCAGGGGGCCCTCCATGTGCTTGGCAGTGAACCGGAAGTGGACTGGCTTAGAAATCCTCCCCAGACCCAGGAGGTACCAGTTGCCAAGACAGGGGGAATGTGGGGGGTGCCCTGTGTGCTCCCCAGCAGATCTGGAGGTGGACTGGAAGTGCTTCTGGTTTGCTTCTGGGTCTGCTGCTGAGCATGCTGGGGAGCCCCCGTGCTCCTGCAGGACACTCCATGTGTCCCAGCATCGCAGCACTCACGAGCCGCCTGCTACCCAGAGGTATGTAGAAAAAACATTTAAAGCTGTGTGTATGTCTGAATCTCTGAATTGATTCAGAGGGTTCCAATCTGAGTCGGAGAGATTAAAGGGTCCTCTGATTCAATTTAGGTTCAGAGATTCGGCCACTGAATTGGTCCGAATCTCCACTAAATCAAATCAGGGACCGAAGCTTTGCACAGGCCTAATATAGCCTACAGCTTGGACGTGCAATAATGTGAGAGATGGCATAGGTTTTTGTAATACTTCATAAATGTTTTATTTTGGTGAGATTTTGGGGATGTGCTGAACTTAAAGCTGTCTTGTTAGAAGCATAGGCATGGGAGGAAATAACACATGGTGAGATATTTCAGTAACAACAAGTACAGCATTAATTTCTTACTTATGGGTCACTAGTACAAACAAACACTTGTATTAAACAGGAATGCTGATGATGCTGGTTGGATGATCTGAATGTTTTCTGATAAACTTACCAATATGTCAAAACATATCATAGAATCAGGAAATTTGGGTTGGAAGGGACCTCAGGAGGACATCTAGTTTAGTCCCCTGCTCAAAGCGATACCATCCCCAACTAGATCACGTCAGCTAAGGCTGCCTGTAGACAGCTTTGTCTATGACACTAGCAATGGTGAAATGTAAAAGGACTGAAGAGCTGACAGGTTTCCTTCCTTGGCTTGTTTTTTGGCATTTATCAGTAGGCTTTTGGAAAATCAAGAGCCCTGTCCCCACACTTGCATTTGTGTCTCTCTTGGTAGTTTCAGGAGGAAGGGTATTATTGAATGGGCTTAGAAACAGAACCATACCTCAGCCTAGAAATGTTCAGTCAAAACATAGAAAAATGTTAATGATAATAGAAAACTTTTCCAACTGTTGGAGCTATCATTTGAAAAAATAAAAAGATGCAATGGGGCATCTGTAACTTTTGCTTTAACCCCCACCCCTTGCAAATAACAGAAATCCTACACTTTAACTTGTGCCTATTAGACTGTGGGGCTAACAGTTGCTCCTGGATACTTTTTAGTTGCTTGTTTCCAATTGTTCAAAATATAATTTAAATTTTAGATATTTGAGGGAGAATACCTAGTTCTTTTATATCTCTGAAGTATTTTGGGTTTACAATTATAATTCATCCAGATTGCCAGTAACTTGCATTTGCCTTTGATTATAGGGTGTTTTAAGATGTATGGTGGTATTTTTTCTAAGTGTCCTGAATATTAGGTACTTAACTGCACTATTGCTGTGTGCGTACGTGTGTGCATATGAGAAAGAGATTAATTGAAAACTATTAATTGTGAACATAACAAAAAAAAGTATTTTATATTCTTAACTCTTGTTCATCTTATTCCATTTTAAAACATTCCTGAAAAGGTCACAACAGTAATTGCCTGTTGTTGCTACCAATGAATTTACAGTTCATTCAAGTAATAGAAAGGGAATGGAGAGAGGTATTGGAAGAATAAAAAAATTATTTGAAAGCAATTGTTGGTGCTATGTAAGCCAATATAGTAATGTTTAATTAGTCCAGTAGAAAATTGCTTTCTTCAGGAAATAATGCCTTTTAACATTTTCTGGGTTATCTGAGACTATGGTAAGTCTTTTGAAGCTTATGTTTCACTGTTAAGCATCAACTTCCTTGATTGCACTGGGTATCTTAATACAGAAAGTCTTAATGTTGCTTTATGAAAGAAAGGTAAGTCTAGGTATTTTTCATACATAAAACTTTATTAGACATTTTTGTTTCTCTCTAGATAAAATGCATTATTGAACATTTGTCTCCTACTATATGGGTATTTTTATGCAGACCTTTATCACATTGGTATATTAACAGTAAGTAATACTGAGTCCTTAGAGAGAATAGAACTGTGCACTATTCATTAGGTATATGAAACTAATAAAGCAGTCCATATGCGTCAGGTTTTCATTCTCCCCATGTTCGGCAAGTGCAGGATAGTTGTATATGTGATATCCATCAATTAGTTTAGATTGAACTATGACAGTTTTGCACAGATTCTCCTTCTGTGAGACCTTTTGTTTCTCTTTGTGCTGTAAAAGTTGCAGTAATT